CTTGGCAAGGAGGAGGAGACTGGGGCCTCCTGTGTCTTCTAGAGGCTCTCCGAGCATCTTCGAGTGCCCTCAATCTCTCTCCTTGAGAAAAGATCGGTTAATTGGTATGATTTATTGCCACGAACAGTGCCCTGATCGTGGCGTCTGCTCCGGTGGGAACAAGGACCTCATGGAACTAGGGGGTCTAATAGTTCTGAGGAGGTGACCGATCGTCTTCAGGTCGGCGAGATAATGATGATGATGAAGCAGTTGCTCTGTATCTATATTCCGAAGGCCCAAGCATATTAACGGTGGGGGCCATGTTGTGGCCAGCAGTACCAGCGTTGTCGATGTCAGAATTGTCGGCGACGTTGGTGTTGGTGTCGACGATGCGGATGTTCAAGTTGTTTTTTGCTGTTTGATCAGCCATGACAGTCGGAAGGGTGATTTAGCTTTAGTCTTGAGTAAATGGAAGACAAGGAAGCAAGTTTCCCACAGATGGCGCCACTGATCGTACCTGACCAGAATGGACCGTCACAGCTAGCTCGAGCAGAAGTTGAGAGTGAAGTGGGGGTACTTGCAAGACACTCCGATGCCAAAATGAGTTTGAGAATGAGCAAGCAAGTATGAGAGTTTAGAAAGTGTTGAATACCTGACTCTCTCGAAAGAGAAGGTATTTATAGCCTCTAGCGTTGGGCCAAGGTCTCTTTATTGGGCTGATCAAGCAGGCCCAACATAGAGATTGCCAGGTTTTACGTGAGTAGTAGGGACCCGCATGTGGTCCCCTACCTGGATAACGTCCTCTGCAAGGTCAGGAGGATATTGATGCGATCTTTCTGGGACCACGAAGACTCCACAATATCTGGAGACGTTGGTAGTCAGCCCTACGAGAAGGATGCTCGGATGGAGCGCCTGCTCGTCATGGGTGATCCCCACCAGACACGAGCTCGATAGGGGACCAGTCTTAGTCGACGAGCTAGTTGACGTGTCCTCGAAGCCTTCATGGTCGGGGTGTGAGCGTCCTCAGTCTATTTTAGCGTTATGCCCGCGTGGTGAGGTTGTCTCCTCTCGAAAAAAAGTTAGTAGTTGGCCGCCGTATTCGAGAGTAGTACTGGTCAGTGGTGTAGGTTGACACACTCAGTTGGATCTCACTGGAAATTGAGCCAAGGGCAGGCCCAGTCCAGAACAACTTCTAATATATACCCACATACAAATTACAAATTCAATTCCAAATAAAATATAAAAAAAAAACATATTCTAATATGCTACTAAAATAATAAAAAAATATAAAATAAGAAATAATATAATTTACAAAGTTAGAAGAATTACTAAATATTGATGTATTCATAATAATAGAAAAATATTTTTTAAAACAAAAATTGATATGTAGTTGGAATATTTTTCTTTAAATAATTTTAAAATTGATAAGAAATCATTTTTAAATTATTTTTGATGATCTGTTCGAATTTTTAAAAAGAAATATTTTGCAGATATGTTAGTATAGTTATTACCCATTAATTATTTGACTTATGAATAATGAGTTTTTGTTTTAGTCCGTGTACCAGGCTGTTCTTAATGGTTTAATTCTGAACAATATTTACCAAATATATTAAAACCTTAATAACTATTACATAACTAGTGGAATTTTACAATGGATGGTTAATAATAGCTAGCACCAGCTCTAAAGGTAAAACGGCGTCGTAAAAAGCAGAAGAGGAGTATTGATTGACCGAGTTAAACAAAACGAAACCGAAATAAAGGGAAAGAGGCATATGCCGGAATATTTTTTGTTACAAAATAGAATTTGTTTAGTATTTTCTATTTTTGAGCCCTATAAAAGCTACTTCTCTCTCTTTTTCTCTGTCACACACACTGATCTATTTCTTCATTTCTTACACCATTATTATAGTATAATATTTTCTTACACTTTCAAGGTTAGTTCTTTTCTGTCTCTTTCAATCATTATTGATTTCTTTGTATTAGCAATAGCATTATTATCTAGATCTCATGTTGTATTCTTTGCATGCATCGTGTCACTGTCACATAACGATTTATTCATATACATCTGAATTGCATGCATATTTTACGTATATGTTGTTGAGATTCATTTTCCAATGAGATGGTGTAAATGATGGTGTAATTATTATAGATTGATTTCATATGATAACATTTGTAATTTGATTATTTATGAAATCTGTATTCTTTTAAAACAAAGATGTCTCGGTTAATGTTAATCAAATCTGATTCTTGGTTGTAGGGAAGGAAAGAGGAGATTAGTGACTTAAAGCTTGAAAATCCATGGCAAAGGAGGTGCTAAATGCACTTGATGTGGCGAAAACGCAATGGTACCATTTCACAGCAATCATCATAGCCGGTATGGGCTTCTTCACAGATGCATATGATTTGTTCTGTATTTCTCTTGTTACCAAGTTGCTTGGCAGAATATATTATCATGTTGATGGTGCACCGAAGCCGGGAAATTTGCCTCCGAATGTATCGGCGGCTGTAAATGGGGTTGCTTTCGTTGGAACACTTTCAGGGCAGCTTTTCTTCGGCTGGCTTGGTGATAAGTTGGGTAGGAAAAAAGTGTATGGAATGACACTCATGATTATGGTAATCTGTTCAATTGGTTCAGGTCTTTCTTTTGGACACACTCCAGAAACTGTCATGGTAACTCTTTGCTTTTTCCGCTTTTGGCTTGGGTTTGGTATCGGTGGAGATTACCCGCTTTCGGCAACCATAATGTCCGAATATTCCAATAAGAAGACTCGTGGTGCCTTCATTGCTGCAGTCTTTGCCATGCAGGGGTTTGGAATTTTGGCAGGTGGTATATTTGCAATCATGATGGCTGCTATATTCAAGGCCAACTTTGATTCTCCACCGTATGCGGTTGATCCACTTGGTTCAACGGTTCCACAAGCAGACTTCGTTTGGAGGATAATCGTGATCGTAGGAGCATTCCCAGCTTTACTGACTTACTATTGGAGGATGAAGATGCCCGAAACTGCCCGTTACACCGCTTTAGTTGCTAAGAATACGGCACAGGCAGCAGCAGATATGTCTAAGGTTCTACAGGTTGAGATTCAAGCTGAACCAGAGATAGAAGTGAAGAAGAAATATGGCTTGTTCTCACCGGAGTTTCTAAGTCGCCATGGATGGCATCTTCTTGGTACAGCAACCACTTGGTTCTTGCTTGATATAGCGTTTTATAGCCAAAATCTATTTCAGAAGGATATCTTCAGTGCAGTTGGTTGGATACCTCCTCCACAAACCATGAATGCACTTGAGGAGGTTTACAAAATTGCAAGAGCTCAAACACTTATTGCTCTTTGCAGTACGGTTCCAGGTTACTGGTTTACAGTGGCTCTCATTGATAGGATAGGAAGATTTAAAATTCAATTGATGGGATTTTTCTTTATGACAGTGTTCATGTTTGCACTTGCCATTCCTTATGATCATTGGACTCATAAGGATAACCGAATAGGATTTGTAGTATTATATTCCTTGACCTTTTTCTTTGCAAATTTTGGACCTAATGCTACCACATTTGTTGTACCGGCAGAGATTTTTCCTGCTAGATTCCGTTCTACTTGTCATGGAATATCATCCGCAGCGGGAAAGCTTGGTGCTATAGTTGGTGCATTCGGGTTCTTGTACTTGGCACAAAACCAGGACAAGAGTAAAGCTGATGCAGGGTATCCTGCAGGTATTGGTGTGAAGAATTCCCTGATAGTGTTGGGTATAGTTAACATTTTGGGATTCGGTTTTACTTTCTTGGTGCCCGAGGCAAATGGAAAATCATTAGAGGAGATGTCAGGTGAGAATGAAGAGGAAGATGAAGTCAATGAAGAGCTGGAGCAATCTCCTTCTAATAGCCAAAGAACAGATTCACTTGTTTAGAGTTAGTTTACTTATCTTGTTATTCTTTTAATAAAGCATTATCTTTCAATTTGTTAAGGAGGGAGGCACAGAAACATTCCCTTCCCCTCTTCTGTATTTCTAGTGTTACAAATGGTGTTAAGCAATTTGATTATGTTGTAATTTCAATGAACAGTTTTGCCCAACCACTATTCAGTTTTCTTTTTTTTTTATTTTTTTTATTTTGAAGTTTCTAATTTTTTTACTGAGCTAGTGAAATCAAAAGACATACTAGGTACTATATGAATATAAATAACAAAGAATCAAATATTCAAAGAACAAAATACTGAAGTTAGACGTAAAATGATTGATCCTTATGCTACTAGTTGTGGTTGTGGTTTCAGTCTATTTACAGCACATGCTTTCAGCACTAGTTCACTTGTACAAAACAAGAACCAATTGAAACTTTTTCAATTTCCTTAACTTGCGTCTTCAATTTGTGGTCAATACAGAATAAGATTCTGAGATAATGTTTTTAAACCATCCTTTATGGCATCAATATCACTTCAAAATTATGTGCTAGCACACCTACTTCTAACTGTTCCTCTATAATTTCTTAGGGAATTGCCTCAATCAAACAAACAAAATCCCATCTTTGTGTCGCATAATGTTCTTTTTCAGTTAACGTTTAGAAAGAACCAATGAACTCTAGTAAGTTACAATCATCATAAACTTGAATTGGACATTTTTTGCTCATTTTACAATCATGATGAACTACTGATGACAATTGTACTTTGCTCATGACATGTTTTATCTATTACAATCATGATAAATTAGTTTCAAAACATCAACTGATAAATGCAGGTTTTGAAATTATTACAGATACCAGAACATGATAAGTTATCAAATTAATAACAATGGATTTTAGTATCTAAAACATATGGATTCATAAATTCAAACTCATACAGTACAGTCAAGCAGACTGGAATTTACAACAGTAACTGCTTAAAGCTTAAGCCCATCATCGGTCTCCAGAATCCAAATTCATATTACTGGAGGTACATTTTTGTGGCTAGATGGGTTTTGTAACTTATAAAGCAAGGAAGGATAATTGATTAAAAGTAAAGGGTTTTGATGAGAACATCAATAACTTGATTAAACTATCAGTGTGCTCGGTCCCTCAGCACTTCAAGATCCATTTCTGTGGGATCAGTAGCCTGGATTTCATAATGGACACCATCTAGCTCACGTCTAAACCTTTCTTTAGTTGTGGCATAGAGCATCTTGGCGCGGATTCGAGAAGTTGAAGGAGACCTGATCAATAGCAACCAATCAATAACCAAGAATGATGATAATCTCAGTGGCAGAATCATAGAGAAAGTAAAATAACTTCCAACTCAAGTTTGTCCTTTACAAGAACAAGAGGAGAAAGACAGCTCCCGGTAAGACATTCATTTACTAAGCAATAAAATTGGCATGCAAAGTCAGACAACATTATGACAATTGACAAATTTTTTTTAGGAAGTAGCAGCAGCAAAGATCCCACTCAAACAAGATATCGACAATTATTTAACAGAGTAGTTTTTCTGTAGACAATCAGATTGAAAATTGATCCGACCACAAAGTGCTTAATCAATTCAACAAGAAAAAAATTCTTATCCGTATTTATTTGTACAAGTTTTTCTGAGAAGCAATGAAAGTATGAAAGCATGGCTTACAATTTTGGTTAATGAATTAAACATTGTTTCCTTCCATAGACCATCATTCTATTTCAGGACAATAATCACCCCTACACTAGTTAGAGTTTCAGAGAGAAAGAACTAGAACAAGATCCGTCGAAAACAGGGGAGATAGAGAGGGGAAAAGAGTCCCCCACTGAATGGTCCATGGTATCTTGGTGATAATAATATTAATGATGAGGGCTACCCTACAATTTCCATCCTCTTTCTTGAGGAACACTATATCATCACACACAAATATTTGGCTCTATAAATTGAATTTTATCAAATGAAAGGAATTGAAACATTTGAAAACACCTAAATGTTATAAACATTAAAATCTAAAGTTACATGTGGACAAACTAAACACTACCTTGCCCCAAAAAATCAGAAAAAAATTACTCTTAATATGGTTGAACAGAAGCATGAAGATATTTGACAGTGTTTTATTTGTCACACTATTTCATAGTAGCATAAAAACCACTTATCCAGTAATGTTCTATCACCTACTTAAATGCGCTTGGGAGAAAATACTCATGAAAAGTATATGTCTGACCACTAGAATGGAAATGAGGTAATTTGAAGCACACGGAGTTAAATATCACAATACTTTCATTCTACAACACTTAGTAAAATAAAAAACCAACATTGCATCAAAACAATAAGACAATACATCCAGGCCAAGACAATGAAATAATACATATAGCCGCATAATCATAGAACGTGCAAAAATGACTCTTTTGACATACTCAAATTAATCACATGGCATAGTTATTTAGAACCTGCAAAACATATGTTCAGCGCATGAATCATAATATCATATGCCACTTGCACAAGAGAATGCATAATTGAGTCCAGGGCCGTCTATGGGGCGTGCAAGTGCAAGAAGCCAAAACTTGACAAGGCTAAATTGTGGTTAAAAATAGCCTCAGAAAATATATCACGGCTAAGCCGTCGCAAAATAAGGCTCATATTTGTTTTGACACAGTTAAATTGTGACTAAAATACACAGAGCCTCCAAAAATTTAAGATATGGTGGTGGTTGGAACAAGTTAATAGCAGACAAAATTAATAAGAAGTATATTTTTATGTATAATTTGAAAGAGAGGAAACTAACTAACCATGCAATGAAAAAGATTTTGCTCTTTTGACAATTATCAGAAGTAACAAAATCATAATCAAACACAGCATATCTGCAATCATTGTCAGGCAAAGAAGCAGCAAAATCATCATAACTCTCAGCAGGACCACCAGTCTTCTCAACTACAACCTCTCTTTTCTTCTCATCAACCTTAAAGATAACATAACGATGAACCTTCTTTTGCTTCAATTCCAAGAACGTGCTCTTGCTGATCTCATCAACACCCATGCCAGATGAAGCATTTGGCTGCAATCATAACACAAACGCATCAGTTCAAACGAAAAACCCTAATCTAGAAATAGCAAAACTGAGAAAAATAAGAGTAAAGAAAATCGATGATGATTACCCGGCTGAGACCTCTGAAAGACATGGAAAATTGAGTTGAAAGAAGAGAAGGAGTGAAATTGAGTGTTGTATTTTAGGGAAGAGAGGTTTTATAAATAAAATAGTTAAGAAAAAATAAAATTGATAAGAGTGGGGCGGTGCGTTGAGGCAACGCTAACGAAAACAGAATGAATTGAGGGAGTGTGAATAATGCATTAGAAATTAAGATTCTTCACCGCTTATGGGGCCCACTTTTGTTCACTGCTTGCTTTAGCACTTCAAAATCCACGTTCGATTCGCTGCATATATAATTACATTTTTCAATATGGGTCACATTATACAATGACTTACTCATGGATATTAATCGAGTGATCATCAACTGCTTATTACGACCGAGTACTTGAACCTGACTTTTCAAATCACTCATATGTGAATATAATTTTATTAAATTATAATTATTCTTGGATAATAATATTAATTTGCTATTATCGTTAAAAAATGTTAAAACTTGAACCAACCTTATTATATAATTATACTTTTTTTAAAGTCCCTCGTGAAATTTTCATAATACTTTCTGAATGTAGATATATATATTTATATTTATCAAATTTTAGTTACTTATCAAAAAGATTCTGAAATTCATAATTCATATCTGAAGTCATCAATTTCTTTTTTCAAATATATATTTCTGAATCAAAATCAACTTCTTTCGAATCAAAGCAACTTAACATAAATTTAACAAAAATAGTTACAATTACATAGATATTGGGACAAAAATATAACATTACATATTGTTATAAACGGATAACTAAGGATGTCGCAATATTTTGATAACATCTTCTCCCGATTTTTGAAGTTTCGCATCCACTTCAATCGGACACTTAGTAGAGTATCGCTGAAAAGTACTCCACATAACCTTTAAATTGTCATCCGTCTTCAGCTCAAACTTGGTGAACTTTATCTTATCTTTAGCATCAAGTGAGGGTGAACGATACTCAACCTTGGTCACCTTTCGATTTTTTAAATATTGCAAGAGAGAATTCAGGGTAGTGATCAGGTCGGCGAAAGGCGTGTCCTCGGAGACCCGAAACTGCAGTGGCGACATGTTACCATTGAAGTAGACAAAAGCAAGGTGAGGATATGTTTGACTCATCTCTGTTTGTGGTTTATGATGTTGAAGAAATGGTTTGGAGACCGTACTTATAGAATAAATGGAGCAATTTGGACCCAAGAATTCTTATCCTGCCACCAGTGCATGTTTCGGAAAAGAAAACATCTGAATTAACTTTTTTTTACGAAATAAGAGGGTTTCGGATAGGCATATCCGAAATAACTCTTGTTTTGATTTTTAAAAATGAAGGTTCATTCAGAGCTGCATATCTGGAATAACCCACATTCTATTTTTTTTTAAAAGAATGTAGGTTATTTCGGATATGCATATCCGAAATATGCAGAACCAGTGATAAAATCTTTTTGAGCATAGTTAGTACCATAGAGAATGGGAAAATAATTTAATCGGTAAAAGTAAACAACGATAAAATATTGAATAGACATATTATATATGTATTGAATTGTATAGAATTTATATTGTGCACGTCAATACATTCAAAAAATGGTTCGATTACATTCTAAAATGCATCGAACGAATTGTCATCGCTTAAATCTAAAACTGGGTATTTCTTCGACTTCTCCCTATTTGATTTTCTCTCAAGCTCCGTCAATTTGGTGAACTTTGTCATCCTTTCCAAAAAGGTATTCGGACAAGTTTTCGCCTCTTTTACAGAATGTGTCATCCACTAAACTGATGTAGCCGGTATAGGACACCCGGTTTTAAATAAACCTCAACAAAATGATGTGCTCTAAGGTACCCAATACAAATTATATGGTCGGATGGGTCTTGAGGTTGGAAACTCCTAATTAGGAAAAATGTTTCCGAAAAACCATATCTCGTTAGATTGATACACACCCTGTCATATGTACTTGCTATAAGATTGTCCATTTCAGGAAAGCTCATCCATTATTCAACCGGTGCATGTTGTACCCCCAAAATTTTCCCTCTCATTTCTCAAGGCATTTCTCACAAGGTTCTCAAAGTTCAAACTTGCACAAGTACAATTGGATTTTCCAACATCAAGCTAAAAAAGGGGAAAGCAGATAAAAATAATTTTTTTTGAAAAATTGGAGAATAAACAAGTTTTCTTCAATTCACATCCATCGATTGGACTTTTGGCCTTTTTTTATGCAAGTTTGGCTTACATCATTCAATTGGGCGTTGGCCTCCGACACACTGGCTTTGATTCACAAAGCAGGAGCTTCCCGCATGCAACCTTCGATTGCATCTTTGGCCTCACATGGTTCACAATGTAATGGTGGCCTGCATACCTGCTTCGATTGGACATTTGATGCTAGCATGCATGTGTTGACTGGACAAATAATTCCCTCCATGCTTGCTTTGATTCACAAAGTGATGGCTGGCTGCATACAGCCTTCGATTGAGCCACAGCTTCCTTCTTGCACGCAAGAGGATCCCACCAGATCAGAAGGCACAAGGCAAAGAGCCTCATGTATCCTCCTTCGATTCAGAAGGCAAAGACATCTTTTCTGGGTGCCTTCGATTGTGCCCTTTACCCCCTGCATCCTTTCTTTGTTTGGGTGTGTGGCTTCCTTCAAATACAAGTTTTGGTTACACCTTTCGTTTGGGCATGTGGCTCCCTTCATGCAAGCTTTCATTTGATCAAAGGCTCATTGCATGTTTGCTTAGAGTCATAAAGAAATAGCCTCCTAAAGCTTTCCTTCGATTCAGAGGCCATTTTCCTTTTGCATGATTCCTTCGACTCACAAAAACCAGAACTCCCTTTAGGCCAGAATGCACAAGGCAAAAAGCTCCCCCATGGCTGGCATTCACAAGGTAATGGCGCCCACAAAGCATTGGCTACTTTCATGCTAGTTTCGAATGGGCAGTATCTCCCTTGGAAATAGTTTTCTTCAACACACAACTTCTATACTATGACACATAGCCATTGTCTCGTTCAAAAGACGCACCATGGTGGCACATTCGAAGGACTTGCCAAACATACCTGGATGTTCCAATCGAATGACATATTTTGGTGATCCATTCCAGGGGAATGCATTTGGTCCATTCGAAGGAACATACAAAAGGCCTATTCGAAAGACACCTATTTGGGCCCCTTCAAAAGATACACATATGAGCCATTCGAAGGACACTTTGATTTGAAAAGAAATGTTGTTGAGGAGTCTGGTCGAAGGATAGGGCTAGGGGGTCAAAACAAAAGTTTGAGATATCCAAAGATACTTGCTGGTCAGAGTCCCATGTGCTGCCAAGTTCAGGCCTGATACACTGGCCATAACACTCCAAAACTGCTGCACAGCAGTCCTGCAACACTGCCCTTATTCTTGCACCAATTTGGAATACGAATACTGCCCCTCGAAAGCTACAAGAATAACATGCCCTTTTTGTTCAAATTTCTTTTGTTTTCCCTCCTAAAACACCAGTCAAATCACCTATAAATATGAGCCTCCACCACACATCTTAGGGGCCCCTAGATAGTTGCAAGAAAACTCTTGTTGTGAAAAAAGTGATAAATCTCTCAAAAAAACTCTCAAATACTATCTAACATTTTTTTAATATTCCAAACACTTCTAAAAAACTCAGACCCCTTCACACACTAAGTGAACCCTTCAATTCACTCCTCAAGTTGCCAGATAACTAACCTTCGACCCATTCCCCCAACTTCAATATAATAATCTTTTGATTCACTCCCTTACCTGTTATAGAGTAACCTTTGATTCACTCACATACCCTTCCTTTGATTTAGTGACTGCTCAAACAAGGTAGTAATTGGACTAAGCCTCAGGAAGACTCCAACAAACTTCCATTCACCACCAAGGAAGTCACTTGCAGTTTCCTTCGATTTAAGCGCTTCAAGAGATAAGTTCTCTCTAAACTTGGAACTATTTCATTTAAATATCATGTGTATATACCAATAAAGATAAAATGTAGATATTTCATCTAGGGAGTTTGACCATGGTTCAACCTTCAATCCTGACTGCCTATATGTTGAAAGTCTCAACCTTGACTAGTTAGACTTTGGATTTTGAGACCCTATAATCTTGTGCTAACCCCTGACCTATAGCTTTCGAAAGTTACACTTGAATGTTGCATGTTTAAAAGTTTAAAACAGGTTCTCTATATCCTTCGATTGATTAAATACTCAAGCCTTTCAAATCTCAACTTGAGGGCCTAGCATTCCTGCAGTCGAAGAAGGCAGCAAGGAGCCTGAGGCAAAGAGTGCACCTCACGTTGACTCCAGGCCTCAAATGAAAGAAGCAGCCAGAAGGATGGCCACACTGACTTCCAGGTCCCAATCAAAAGAGGCAGGAAAAGGATGAAATCGAAAGGGGTGACCTCACTGACTCCATGCCTAAATTGAAGGAAGCCAGGAAGGACAGAATCAAAGGGTGTCTCTTCCTAGATCGAAAAGCTCATTTTTCTTCCTTTTATTTTTGTTTTTGTCTTTACATTTTCTTGCTCTTCAATATGGTTATAATAGTGTAGGATTTATTTTCTGCATTTTTATTACTTTTGTATAAATGTTAGTAACTAGGATGTATGGCAAGGTAAAACCAACAAGTAGATCACCCTAATCAAAGAACTAAATGCATGCAAATCAAACACATTATTCACACACATGCATCCCTAGGGTAATCTCACTTATTGCCTCGGAAAAATAGTCATGTCCCTCGAATATGGGCGTTTTAGCAAAGACCCTCGATAAAATATCATAGTCCCTCGATGACCCTTAATGTTGCCTTAGGTAAATAATCTAGTCCCTAAACGAAAATTGCTAAATGTCCCATAGGTTACTTTCTATGACTATACAAACCTCTCACGCCCATCCCTTCACACCCAATTATGGGGCTTCTTACCAAATCAATGGTAAGATAGTAACATCTAAAGGAGGAGGAAAAGAACATAGACCTTTTGAGTAGGTAGGATGCTCCTAGTTGCTCGTTTGCTCACAATAA